ACGAAGGTGTGGAAGATGCTGTTCCGTTTCCATGAGTCATCTGGCGTTGGGACAGTCAAGAGGCATCGCATCACTCCAAGATGACCTGATGGCATGTCATCACAATTAATTTCTTCGTCCACATCAGAAGGAATATCGACAGGGTCGATGACGACATCTGGATCGCTCTCGAGTAGTGCATCGTCTTGAGATTCGATAAGCAACGCACGTTGCGGGCACTTTGAAGCGATGTGTCCCTTAGAGTGACACTTGAAACACTCTATCGATGAGCTACCTGTGCGAGCGTTCGAGGCTAATGACTCTCTTGGCCTAGGAGCGCTTGGTCCTGAAAGTTGTTGACTTATCCGCTGATTGCCCGAAACAGTGGAGCTGCGTGTTGGACGAGACTCTAATCCAGAGAAGCTGGGACGCCTGAAAGAGGGATACTTAGGCAGGGAGTCAATGTCGATAGCCTTATGATATGCTTCCTCTAAAGTGTAAGGACGGTTTACTCTGAGCTCCCTCTGTATGTCATCCCTAAGGCCGCTGATGAACCTCTCAATAACCACAAAACTCGGCTCATTTAAGTCATTGCGGATCAGAAGGTCATCGTATCGAGAGACGTAGTCGGCTGCCGATGAGGTTCCTTGCTTGAGGTTGTTCAATTGGTTGAAAAGCATGCTTAAGTGACTGACCGGCACGTACTTTTCCTTAAGCTTCAACTTCATCTCCTCCCAAGTAGTGACAGGAGGTTGCCCTAGGCGTTCAAGGTTCGTTTGGACGAACTGCCAATACTTCCTTGCAGATCCTACGAGCTTCATCTTGGTAAAACGAACGCGTTGTATGTCACTCATATTGTACCACTCGAAGTAGTCGTCCATGGTGGCTAACCAATCGAGGAAGGCATTCGCATCTAAACGACCATCAAAGTCAGGTGCCTCAACTTTAACCCTCTTCGTCGCATCATCATTGTAGTCTTGCCGAGGGGTGTCTCGGTATCGTCTGGGCGGCGACGGTTCTCGTCCATACCTAGGGCGCGCGGCGTATCCTCCATAGGCTCGTCGGTTCACAACATGGGATTCGTAGCGAGCCTCTGTCCCTTGCTCATCCCATGGGTTGTCCTCTTCCTCGAACTGTGGGGGAAGGGTCTCAACGTGTAGCGGTTTAGCCTGCGGGTTACGTAGCCCTATAGACAGTTGGGAGCCTCTAGTGTGAGATGGTCCAATGGTGTCGAACTTAAGGTGCGCTTGATTGGTCTCAGGTACATTTCCAAGAATCCCTTCTGCACCTTTACTAAAGACATGCCTATCAATTCTTAGGAGAGAATCTCTAATTTCTTGCTGGGAGGTCCTAAGCTCTTGATTAGATACCTTAAGCTCCTGAGTAGTGGCTCTAAGCTCCTGACACTGGGAGTTATATTCTTGCTTAATCTCGGCCAAAGATTCCTTAAGGCATTTGGTAAGTTCATTCAGTTTTAGTTCAAAGGTCTGAAGTCTCTGGTCCATTTGGGATTGAAGGGAGCTAACACGAGGTTCTAAAGATTGAAGTGCTTGGTCTAAGGTGTCTTGTCTATTTTCAATATCACGAATAGTCATGCAGTAGGTAGACGAAAGCTAACAACAAATAATGAAGCAAGTAAAGAGCTACTAATAAAATGAAAATAAATTCTTCCTCCTTTTTTTTTTCTTTTTTTTTTTGCTTTTTTTTTTAAACAAATGAAAATGCTAATAAAATACAATATCTACGGTAGACAATAATCAATAAAATGGCAAAAGCAAACTAGTAACCTCCAGTATGTCAAACTAGTCACAGTAAGTTAAAGAGAGGGTCAATTGCGCCTTACCAACGCACTTAAAGAGACCAGAAAAATTACCCCAAAGTGTCTAAATGATTCTGTGGCCGAAGTGAAAATTTTGACAAAATCCGGGTCCAGAAGTGTAATTTCCTCGAACGAATTGGGTCAGACTGCAAAATTTCAAAATCTGGGGCGAAGGCGAAATTTTCTGGAAAATTCGGGTCCAAATGTGTAATTTTCGCTAAAACTGAATCTGGAACTGCAGAAGCACGGAGGCGCGTGGATCTCACACGCAGATACTTCTTCCGGCGTGTGGAGGCGCGTCGATAGTTCTTTGGCCGTGAAACTCCGGTGTGTGACCGTGTTCCTCCCTACGGTTCGAACGGCGGTGGTTTCGCGGCAATCTGAGGTTGGACGAGAGAGTTATGAGCCTTCAAAGTGACGGTGACGGTGATCTTGCGCAGTGGACTTCTTCAGGCAGTAACTCATCGTGAAACTGAGTGATCTGGACGGTTATTGGCCGAAGAGGATGATAACGGTGGTGGCACGGTGATAGGAAGCTTGGGAGTGAATGGACAGAGGCGATTGTGCGGCAAAACCTAGAGAGTGACGGCACTGATGGAGCTTTTGAACTTAAGGGTGTGTTTGGATGGTTTGGATTGATAGAAATTAAACACAGGGAAACACAACCAAGCTCTGATGCCAAAATTGATGTAAAACAAGAAAGGATTGGAAGGGATGAAAAGTTAGAGAAGAGGAAGAAGAAGAGAGGAGAAGCAGAGAAGCAGGGAGAACGGGAGAAAAACTGATCGATAAATTCTAAATGCCAAGTCTGATCACAAACTGAAACCCTAAACTATAAATAAAAGAAAGAAATAAAATAAATAAAAGAAATAAAATGAGGGGAGTGGGGAAGTGGGGTGAATGGAGTAACTACCTACGATCTAAAATAAACAATAATAAAATAATTAATTAGTTAAATTAAAATCTGCATCACAATAACTATTTTTTTCAATTGCTAATCCAAACAGAACCTAAATATATCATATACTTTGAACCGTATGGAGGAACATTTAATGCTCATTAATTTCAATTTAATGCGATGCCCCAATTATGGTGCAATGGTTGTTGCTCGCCTGCAGCTAGCTCGGCCAACTAGACAGGGAAAGAGTGCTTTTCTTTTAGTCTTAGATATAAGTCATTTTATTAAATTTTTAACATGAATGTATTATTCATTTATTATAATGTAGATATTTTTTTTTAATGTGTATATAATAGATAGGGATAAAGCTAAAAAAAATTGTTTTATCTTAATAAAAAATTAATACAGTTTAAGTTTTTTTTTTGCCTGTGTAAAACATGCTGAAAGTGCTTTATAAATAGAAATATAAGAGTATGTGAAAAAATTTGATTTTCGTATGCACTATTTGGAAGCTTGAATGGTTTTGCTTTCGATGAGTCTAAACATAAGAGCTAGTTAAAAAGATATGTTTTTATTATAAACATAATACTCCTTCCGTTCCTTATTATAAGAGACAAATAACCGAAGTACGTTGATAAAAAAATAGTTAAAATTATTTAAGAACAATTAATGTGTAAAAAATATAATTTTTTTCCAAAAATGCCCTCATTAATAAGGAGAGAGAGCATGAGAGAGAATAATTAAATTATTAAAAGAGAGAGAAGTGGGAGGGAGAGAGAGTGTGAGTTGGAGATAATAAATATAGGTAAAATAGGAAATCAACACAAAAAAGTAGAGACAACTTTTAAGTGTCTCTTATATATAGAAACATGTCATAAGCATCAAATGTCTCTTATAATAAGGAACGGAGGGAGTATCTTAATTAATTGACATTGTCTCAAAAATTTTCTTATGGTCACAATTGATATCCCATTAAGTTTGGTGGATACGCACCGGCCAATCCCTTTGAATAATTAATATGGCCTCCTCCATAATAGCTACAGAAAGGTGTCCTAAATCGTAGCCTCTAGCAAGCAAGTTAACGAAAGAGGGAGGAACGAAATTAAAAAAGATGCTTAGGGTGTTTTAGTAAAAAGAAAATTATATTGACTAATTTAACTAACATCTTTAATCTACTCAAATTAATTAATTAGATCTTATATTGAGAATTAAAGAAGGATTTTGTAAGATTTATCTTTTGTTTGTCTAATCATTTGATGCATTTTTTTCCCAACTGTGTCCTTAATTAATTTATGGGCTGCTGACCGGTCAAATAATTTTTTTGTTGGGTCATTTCGAGTGAAGACGGTGCGTTCCATGATCTTGCTCCTTTGTTTACTCTCTTCCTACATTGCCCCATCGTCTCTCTCCACCGAGCCGTCACCTTTACAAATTTAACATCTCTATGAATGATCCTGACTCTTCCCTCTCCTTCTGTAACTACAGCGATTCCCACCCCTGCTCATGCTCCGGCATCACCTGCGATCTAACCAACACCTCCGTCACCGAGCTCGGCCTCTCCAGCTCCAATATTGCTGGCCCATTCATTTATTCTTCTTTTTTCACTCCCTATCATCACATTTTCTTTTATCTATTCTCTTTCATTTTTTTCTAATTTATTATAAAGATCTATTTAGAAATAAAAGTATATTTCTTATCTGTTTATTATTTTTTATTAAATTTAACGAATTTTTTATACTATGTGAATAGATTATTTAAAATATATAATAGAAATCAAAGACAGTATGTCCGCATGCTTGCCACTTTTTTAAGTATGGTGCCCTGCACAGCCTTTGATTAATGACAGGGCCCAAGAGAGATGAGCGATGACCAGCCGACGTCTAAGTTGAAAGATCTTTTTTTTGGGCCTGAAATTGAAGTTGAAAGATCTATTTACTTGTCTGACAGTAAAAGGTGACACAGACCTTGTACCAAAAAAAAAAAAAAAAAAAAAGGTGACACAGACCCTTTACATTTGGGGACCCTTAAAGATATAACTTTTGACAAATAGACATGTAACATAATACGAATAAAACTACCTTCGATCTTTAATATAAGAGTTAATTTAACTTTTATTTTAATCTTAAATATAAGATCTCAATCTACTTTGTCTGTCATATTTATCTATTTTTTCAAACTAGTCTTTAGAATAGTTGCACATGTTAGCAATTTTATCAAATAGTAGTTCTAGTTAATACATATGATTAGTAAAGATATTCTAGAAAATTCAACTCATATTTGTTACAAGCAACTGAATTAACAAACTTTTTTGATCTACTCAAATAAGTTAACTAGCTGTTATATTATAGAGTGAAGATAGTACCCTCACAATATGATATTTCTTTAACAATCATCCAACTTAATACATATGCTTGACAGTACTCCAAATAATTTGCAAATAGATGAAAGTATACATATACTACTCGTCAACAGAGTAGTTAAGGATCAAAAGAAGCAAATTGAAGAAGTAGAGGATTGGTTTCAAAGTGGGGCATATGAGACTCATTCAAGGTGACCCAAGCCTCTATTCCTCCGTCATCAGAACAAGATGGCATCAAAAAAATCACATTTCTTATAGGCACTCCAATAGTACAAACCCAATTTGGTTTGCCCCATCCAAAGTTTGTGTCATAGAAACCAAGCCTCACCCAACTGCTGAAAGTATAACAAGGAACACCTTCCTCGATCATTAAATACAACAGTTGTAATATTGGTTCAAGGGCTTCCATAAGTTCTTGCCCATCTCCTTGAAACTTGCTCACATAATCTCCATCAACCATTTTTATTGTTCTTCTCACTACTTTTGCCAAGTCTTGTAGCTCCACCTTCATTTCTTTGTCAACTTCAAACAATGGAGAAATGGCAGGCACATAGAGATTACCTATATTTTGTTAATACAAATGTTCAGATTAAGAAAGCAATTAAAAACATTTATAAATACATATATAAGTGAAGCATGTTATTGTCACCTAAAGAATTCTCTGGCAATGGCGGCAGCATCCGGCCTCGTATGTTCACAGCATGTAACATCAATGAACTACCATTATGAGTTGCCTCTGTGGTTCTTGCAGCTTCCAAGGCTGATTTCCATATCAAGGCTGTCACAGCTTCAACTCTAGTAGGCTTAAAGACGCAATCTCTTGAAATGTCTTCTTGTAGCCTGCACAAGCTATTTTCACTAAACATGAACCTCTTCGTGGTAATATTTTTCTCACCTATCATGTCATTGAAGTCAATCTCTATGCCTTTGGATGGAAATAGCAATGAAGCTTCCATATGAAGAGGCGAAGAAGAAGCCACCACTTCATCACTTCCTTCTCCCATTGCCTTGTGAGACCAAGCTTGGAGGAATGAAGCTACTGTTGTCCCATCACAAACCTTGTGTGAGATGCACACGCCAATTGCTATACCTCCACAGCCAAACTCAGTAACTTGAACAGCCGTTATTAGACAATCTTCATCATCATCATCTAGTTTAGGCGTGTAGGGATCTAATGGAAGAAACCCGGCCCTTTAATCTCCCTGAGCTGTTGGTTGGTATTTTTCTCAAGAAAATCTGAGAGCTTTGAGGGAACTCTAGATTCAAGGTAAATGACACCTTCATCATTGCAATCAACGTAGAGATTGCCTTCGTTTCCTTTGATTCTTCCATAGAATGGATAGTAGGGGGTGAGGATTTCAGATAACGAAGTCTTCAACTTTTGAGACATTTTGGGAAAATCATAATCAGAAGCACAGTAGAAGAGAACAATGGGAATGTAAACTGAAGGGGGAGGAGCTATCTCATCAAGGAGAGAAATTTGGAAGTGCTTAAGGTGATTTGGAGTTGGAGATAATGGCTTTATGGTGACTCTGGATACAATCTCAACCTTAGCTTCTGCCATATTTCTCAGACAACAAAATATTTCTAAAACAATACAAGAAAGGAATGCGAACAGTAGAATTGCAGCAAGGTCGATGAGGTTTGGTTGATCTTATATTGACACAGAGATTGAGGAGCTTTAAATAATACTCCTCTGGTCCTATTTATAAGGCACTTCCAACATGTTTCACACAGACCAAGAAAAACCTTAAACTACATTAACTCTCCATTAAAATATAGCAACTTTCCAACTTTACCCCTATTTAATATATACTCCTTTCAAAAAAGATAACTACTTACACTATAATAAATGAAGGACAAAATAGTATATTCATACTGAAAAGTTAATGAAGTGACTTATAAATAGGACCAAAAAAAACCTTCTCTCTCTGCCCTATAAATAGGACCAGAGGAGAAATGCATAGCATTTACTTTCGTTTCCCTCCACCGCTTATGGAAAGCCAATCCGGTTAACTCGCCAGTCAACACAGTATTTGAATTGCCATTCAAACTTAGGCGATGTGGTTGCACGTACGAGTCCAAGTTTGTCACGGAAGCCCCAAATTAAAATCTGGCGTGAATCATGTTTGTTTTAGTAAAAAGGTCTACATATTCGGCGCCACAATATGTTCCACTCGCTTGTAAGTTGTTTAAATTTGGTTGCTGCATGTCCCCATGCCTCAAAGTATGGTTTCAACAAATGTCCCAACTTTTCACAGTTGTCCAAGCCGGGATTAATAAAATAAATAGATAAATAAAAAATAATCTCCAAAAGAAGCTATGGGATATTTGCGTGGTCAGCCATTAGGCAATATGATGCCTTTAGAATGTCCTCAACTCACACATTTGTTCAACATGCTCCTCTGGCGTACTATTTTTATAGAACAAAGAGATAAAAAAATTTTTGATTCTATTTATAAGGTAGAGAGGGAAACTTTTGACATAAATATACAATTTTATCCTTTATTTATTATTGTGTTGATTTTATTCTCATGAGGTATAATATATATTAAATAAAGATAAAATTGAAAAGTTATTAAATTTTAAATGAGAGTTAATCAAGTTTAAGGTTTTTTTAGTTTATGTGAAATATGTTAGAAGTAACTTATACATGATACTAGAAGAGCAGCAGATAAAACCTCAGCAGCCAAAATAAAGAAGTGCGGAGATAAGAGATCCTCTGATCTTAGATCTTAGCAGTGTTATTAGTATCCATTTTCCAGAAAAGAAATCCTGCACAATTTTGACAACATTTTCGTTCACATCTTGCGACCCACAGAGGCCATCTGGGCTTGTTGCTTTTGAAGCACCCAATTGAAATGTTGCTTCATTGACTTTAAGAGTTGTTATTTACTGGCCCTCTTGGTCTACTCTGCAATCAACACAACTCCATACCTCCTCAGAGGACCTCTGTTCCAATGCCCTTGACAAATATGAGAAGTATCAGGCCGAAAGGGAAAAACAAGTCTGAGAAGTAATCAGAAAATCAGCTTTCTATTTCACTCTCTTCTTCCCTTTGCATTTTGAAAATAGAATTCTTGAGCGCTGCCATCACTGCAACTAAAAGTGGTAACATGGGTTGAGCTTTCAAGATCAACCTACCAATCCCCCCAAAAGTGGTGGGTTGGGTTGGCAAGATATGAGTTTGTTTTGATACAGTTTTTTTCAGCCCACAACCTGCCAACCCCAAAAAGAAACTTTTTTTAATTTTTTTAAATTTTTTTACATTTTTATTTTAATTTTAATAAGAAAAAGTCTTATCATTTTTACTTAATTTAAATATTGTTATTCATTTTGTTAGAAACTTTTATCCTAAATTTGATTCTCTTTTTTTTAATCATTTTTATTAATAAAATACCCATTAAAAATGAATTATATGTATATATTTCAAGTTTTGAGATTAATTTAATTATACAGTTACATAAAAATATAAAAATAAGGAGAACGTAGTCTATAAAAGTTTATAATTTAATTTAAAAATTAAAAATATATGAGTAAAAATTAAAAGAAATACCATTTAATCATTTGCATTATAAATTATTTTCAATAAACATGACAAGTATCGTTCAAGTTTTCTAACAATTCACCAAAAATTCTTGTGTGAAAAAATTGGCCTGTACTTCGCATAAAAAAAGGGGCCACTTGCACGCCGGTCCCAGTCATACCATTAGTGAGGAATACCGCGTACTTCTCCCGTTCAAAATATAACATACATTTTGTTGAAAGGGCTTTACATATATATAAAAGATATGTTCTAATTTTGTCTAAATATTTAATAAGTTTTTTATTATTTTATTCTTTATATATTTTATTTTCTCTTTAATTCATTTATTATATCTTTTACTTATATTTTTTTCATTAATAAGGATATATTTGGAAAAAAAATACATACATTACATATTTATTATTTTAAATTGATTTTAACTAATTTCTTGATAAGCATAAATCGGTTAGGACCTGTTTGGTTAAGCGTTTAAGTGATCTAAAAGTAGCTTATTGGGTCTGTAAGCACGTTTTGAAAAGTTTGGTCTGTTTGGATGAGTTTTTATCCAATCCTCCTTAACAGTTAAAAGCCAGATTTATAAGCCCAATTTGATAAGCTCCTCAGATCTACTTATAACTTGTGTGTCGCGCTTATGGGTGGCTAGTAAGGGACCGTTAAAACATACTCGTCCGGTCTTTAATATAATGTCTATTTAACTAATTTGATTAGATTAAAAAAGTTAGGTAAGTTAGTTAATTATAAGAAAAGTGACACATTTTTCCTAAAATATCATAATCATCTTTCTTAATATCCCCTCTCCTTCTTCTACTTGATTATGGTTGAGAGAATATCTATAGGGGTAATTTAGAGAAAATTGATAAATATGAGAAATGGGTCTTATATTTAGGACCAAAACCAACTCAATAATTAGGTCCAATATTAAGGGCCGGAGGAGTAATAATTATTCTCAGAAAAAATTTTGTCACTTTTCTCCTCATTCTCCGTTATGGAATCTCCATCGCATCTCCTCCCTAAGCCATGTCCAGATTTGGGTCTCCGTTTCATCTCCTTATCTTGCTTCTTCGTCTACGCCTCTCCTCTTTCCTTATCCGATCTATCCTTCCCGTCAGGCCAGCGCTCCCAGACCCGTTACCAATTGGGTCGCCACCATGGCACCCAAGATGAATGAGCGAGAGAAAGGAGATGAAGAACAAAAAGGAATTCCAGACTTGTGGTCTCTAAAAAAATCTGTAAATAAAAAATAATTACATAAGAGGTGGTGGAATTATACACGTTTTTCATCCTTTTCTGTTTTTTTCCTTTTGGTGTCTTACTTCACTGGTATATAGGGAAATCTTTATTTGAATTAAAGCTAAATCTGAAAATAATTTTCGTGTTAATAAATATATTCTGCAAATGTTCTAATTTAAATATATTTTGTTTTGTTTATTATATTTAACTTCTTCCAATTGAAATAATTTAAATTATGACTCTGTAAATTGATAATTTTTTATTTTATATCATGTAATAAAAGTCACGCCCATTTTGGTAATTTTATAACTAAACTTACTTTTACTCAATTATAATCCAGACAACCTTTTATTAATCTTACTTTTACAAATTAACTTTTCTAAACTCTAATCTAAACACAATTCAGCTTATTCATTTAACTTTTATCCAACTTTACTTTTTTAAAAGTCAAAATTATCAAAGGGTTTTATAAAAATATATATACTAGAATAGCTCTTATAATAAGGATAAGAGGGAGTAGCTCTTATATTTAACTCTAAAAGGAGTAGTACAAACCCATGTTAAACTAAATATAACCTAGCTACTGAAGTTATAGCAATTAAGGAATAGGATTTACTCGTATAATTAATCTGATCTCCATCAACTCATCAGTTGTATAAAATAATGAAGCTACCAATATAGAAGTCTTGTGTGTTATATCGTAAGAAAATGATTACTAGGTATACAAGAAACTAATCCTATTTTTATTTTGAAAAACAACATCGTTTTCTAATAATCTAATTAAGAAAAAAAATCAACATCGTCATCTAAAGAGTTCTCCAGCAGCAGCGACCGCATGTGGCCACGCAATGCGCATGTTCCCACTAGTACATCTTATTTTTCAACTTGCACTTTAATATATGGAAGAGTTGTAATGAGGTCTCAAATAAAAGACATAATTATTAAAAAATCTTAATGATAAGTAAACATAATAACTGCTTTAAAACTTGTCATTACAGACTGTTTTGTTGTCATTGAAACTTTTTAATAATTTTTTTTTTACTTAGGACCTGATTGCGTTTCTCTCCTAACGTTTAATATGTATGGGCTGATGTAATATTTAAATATCCATCTGTATGAGTAAATATTGCAACTTGAAAATTAAAATCATATTTTTAATGTTATTTATTCAATAATAAGATCCATAAGTCCATAACCTTTTTTTTAATGGAAAAAAAAAATTCAACAGCTCAAATGCATCTCAATTTAA